TGCAGTGGTGCGATCTCGGCTCACTGCAACCTCCACCTCCTGGGTTCAAACAATCCTCCTGCCTCAACCTCCCAAGTCACTGGGACTACAGGTGTTCACCACCACGCCCAGCTAATTTTTGTATTTTTAGTAGGGATGGGGTTTCACCATATTGGCCAGGCTGGTCTTGAACTCCTGACCTCAGGTGATCCACCCACCTCATCCTCCCTGCAGGGATTACAGGCATGGGCCACCGCACCTGGTCACAAAAAGACTTCTAATGAAAAATTGCCCCACACCTGCAGGTGCTCCTCAAAGGAATCTACTTTCAGGAATTTTGATTCCTTATTCTAGCATTTGCTGCATATAGTTCTAAATATTCTACTCATAACTTTTATCTCTTAAGTTTTTTCCACTTATTATTAGATAAGAATATGGCCACATACTTTTATTTTTCATTTATTTGTTTATTTGACAGGGTCTTGCTCTGTCACCTGGGCTGGAGTGCAGTGGCATGATCATAGCTCACTGCAGCCTTTAACTCCTGAGCTCAAGTGAGCCTCCCGCCTAAGCCTCCTGAGTAGCTGGGACTACAGGCGCATGCCACAATACCCAGCTAATTTATAAATCTTTTGTAGAGACAGGGTCTCACTATGTTGCCCAGGCTGGTTTCTAACTCCTGGGTCAAGTGATCCTCCCTCCTCAATCTCCCAAAGTGCTGGAATTACAGGTGTGAGCCACCATGCCTGGCCAGCCATATGGTGTTAAATTCAAGAGATACAAAGAGGTATAAGCTGAAAGATCCTCCACTCTATTCCCAGCCACACAATTCTCTCCCCATAGGCAACCAGTGTTCTCAGTTTCTACTCTAGAGACATCCTATAAGGAGAGTCATACAGTTTTGCCCTAGTGTCTGGTTTATTTCACTCAGCATAACCCTCAAGGTCCGTGAATGGTGTGGTCCATGTCTTCAGCCTCTCTCCTCACTCCTGGTCTTCCATACCATGCTTTCCCCACCTCCACTTGGGCCCAGCATTCCCTGCATGAAGCTTCTCCATTGTTTGTCCCAGCATTCACCTGGGCACTGCCAAGTGGGCTCCAGGTACTGTCCTGCCCTCGGCGCTGGCCTGCCTCCCTCGTGGTGTGTGCTGGCCACACAGTGTGCACCTTCCCGGGGTGAGTTGGGATGGGCCATCTTGCCTGTTGTCAGTGCCCCTCTCTGCAGGCATGATGGTTGCACTTTCTTCCTCTTGGCTCAGACCACTTCTTCCTCTGGCTGCCAGGTGTCTCTTAGCATCATCAGAGATGGAGTTTAAGTTTCTATTTCTTGTTCTCTTTTTTGTTTTGGGATGAATTACAGGAAAAAAAAAAAGTGGGGAGGAGGCAAAAGATCTTTACTTCATTATCTTAAAACCAAAACTATGATTATATTTCTCTATAAATTTTATACAGAAAAAAAGAGGGGTCTGGCTGGGCATGGTGGCTCATGCCTGTAATCCCAGCACTTTGGGAGGCCAAAGCAGGTGGATTTCTTGAGGCCAGGAATTTGAGACCAGCCTGAACAACATAGCAAGACCCTGCCTCTACAAAATAATGTAAAAATTACCAGGGTATGGTGGTGTGCACCTGTAGTCTCAGCATCTCAGGAGGCTGAGGTGGGAGGATCACCGAGCCCAGGGAGTTTGAGGCTGCAGTGATCTATGATCGCACCATGTACTCCAGCCTGGGCAACAGAGTGAGACCCTGTCCCAAAAAAAAGGTGGGGGTGTCTTGTTGGGTCCTGATTGGGGTCTTGTTTTGCTTTGTTTATACAAAGCGAAAGGTTTGAAAGTGAAAAAATTTTCTGAAGCATCGTGTCTTTTCTGGCTGTTTCTGACTGGATATATCTAGCATCTTAATGCCAGCTGAATGAGAATCAAAAAATGTGTCCTGCCACAAACACTCACCGTGATCACAAGCAAAACTCAGAAAATAATAATAGTAATAATAATTTGCCCTTTTGAAAGGAGTGTGATTGGGTGGGAGACTGTAGTCCCAGGGTATCTGGCTCTTCCTGATACACACACGCAGGGGCCCTGTGTGACTGAAGATTGTCATAGTTTGTGGTGCAGCTGGGCTCCTCCCTGTCGCTAGCTGTCTGTTCCTTTTCTCTGCTGTGCCACATTTTTCTCTTTCTTCTGCTCCTTTACCAACTTGTAGTCTCTGCTGATTTCTACCCACTCCAGATGCCACCCCCTGCTCCCCACCACCTCCTTCTAGTGAGGACACTGTCCCGACTGGGCTGTGTGTCATTTGAGGACAACGCTCTGTCTTAACTATCTCTGCATGTCTCAGAGCTCAGTGCTAGTTCATGACCCGCAGTGAGGACTCAGTAAGTGCTTGTCGAAAGGAGGAAGGATGGAGAATGAAACTGTGTTCACCAGCCAATGCCAATGGGTGATCACCAGCCAATGCCAATGGGTGTTTACTTTTTTTAACTTAGCAACAGGCCAACGCCAACTATCACATGTAATCTTAGGGTCTGGTTGAGGTCCCTCTCCTCTTCTATTTCTTTCTTTCACAAGACTTGTCATTTAATACTGGATGTCATTTGTTGCTTTACTTGTACATAAAAAGATAGGCTTCAGATTCCATTCTTCCAGTTCTTCTTATCAAGTCGAATTCCCCGAACAGGGTGGAGCATGTCCAGCCTTTACCAGCATCATCGAGAGTCCTTCAGAGCTAGGAGAACATACTGGAACCAGGAAGAAAAAAACCTGCTGTGGGGCTAGGGTGACCTAGAAAGCTTTATCTTCTGCTGTGGCTGCATTCTGACCTTTTATGCAAATGAAGTTTCTCCAGGAAGGAAGTGAAAGAGATACTCCAAACTGAGTTTGCAGGTCCAGTTGCTATTTATACTATACTGGATGTTAGTCCTCCCACCACGATCCCAGAATTTCAACCAAGAAAGTAGAAGTATACACAGATCTTTCTCCTGAAATTTATCCAAGTGAGCTTGGCTAGTTAAAAGAACCAGAGCAATGCTGAGGCCGTATCATTTTACAGAGACTAAAACTTCCAAATAAAGAGGATGATACAAATCTGTCTTTGGCTTTGAGCAATGAGAATCAAATGAAGTCTTTTAGTTAGAAAATTCTAGTCACATAAATACTTGAAGATAGACTCAGAATTAGACTCAGGAAAATTGATTTGCTGTATAAATAATTCTCAAGAGATCTGAATCATTATAAAGTTTGTGTGGATCTTTCAATTTCAAAAACAAGGGCTCTTCCAAGACAGAAATGATCATGTCTTCTTTCAGGGGTTTAAATTCAGGAAAGGTCACTGTGTCCTTAGATGAAAAAAGGTAAGTTAAAGGCAGAGGATCTCAAAGTTCACTGGCCATAAGGCATTGTGAGAAATACACAGAAACCTACTCTGTATATAAAGCAAATGTTTCATAAAAGCATATTGACCTTTCCTATGTGCAGTGCTTTCTGACCTTTTCTGTTTTATTCTGTTATAATTCATTTTTTAAAATACTGGTAGTTGGCTGGATGCGGTGGCTTCCGCTTTTAATCCAGCACATTGGGAGGCCAAGATGGGCAGATCATTTGAGGTCGGGAGTTTGAGACCAGCGTGGCCAACATGGTGAAACCCTGTATCTACTAAAAATACAAAAATTAGCCTGGCACAGTAGTGGGCACCTGTAATCCCAGCTACCTGGGAGGCTGAGACAGGAGAATCACTTGAACCTGGGAGGGGGAGGTTGCAGTGAGGCGAGATCTCACCACTGCACTCCAGCCTGGGTGAAAGAGGGTGACTCTGCCTAAAAAAAAAAAAAAAACTAGTAGTACCCTAAAAAAATCAATTTGTTGATCCCAAATTGTTGATCCCAAATGCGGATAGTGCTGCGCAATTTGGAAAACACTGATTAGAGAATACATTCAAAACAAGGTTCTGTTTCAAATCTGGTAAAAACCATTTCCCCTAAAGCTGCCACTTATTTCGAATCCTTCCAGTGACCACGGATGGTAAAATATACAGCTTTGAAAAAGAGATAGCTATGGAAAGGAAATTAGTTGTGATGAATGCAGCCCCTCTCATGTACCAGAAATTGTATATACTTTGCGTGAAATACAGTCTTCTCTAGGGTTCACATCCTACAGAACAGGGTATCCACAAAATATGCAAAACATACAGGTGTGGATAGGTACTGCTAGATAAGGATATAATTAAAGGATTAATCTCCTTTATCATGCAGGAAAATGTTATTATTATAATCTTTTTCACCCCTTGAAGCTATTCTCAGGATCAAAGATTAACAGTTCAGTTTCTGAATTACTCTGAGACATTTGACCACATTTAAAAATCCTCTATTGGCCGGGCGCGGTGGCTCAAGCCTGTAATCCCAGCACTTTGGGAGGCCGAGACGGGCGGATCACAAGGTCAGAAGATCGAGACCATGCTGGTTAACACGGTGAAACCCCGTCTCTACTAAAAAATACAAAAAACTAGCCGGGCGAGGTGGCAGGCGCCTGTAGTCCCAGCTACTCGGGAGGCTGAGCCAGGAGAATGGCGTAAACCCGGGAGGCGGAGCTTGCAGTGAGCTGAGATACGGCCACTGCACTCCAGCCTGGGCGACAGAGCCAGACTCCATCTCGAAAAAAAAAAAAAAAGGATTGAATTTAGGTGACTTATGTGAAATGTCAGGCAAGTCCAATATCCTTTTGTTATTAAAGAGAACTTGGCTGTGGCTCCTACTTAACAGATTTTGGCAAACTGAATGCTGTCTTGATCCCCTCCATACTAAAATTTATTTATTGAGTTGCTTGCAGAAATTTCCTTAGCTTCTGTATTAGTTGGCAAGGGCTGCCATAACAATACAACACACTGGGTAATTTAAACAACAGACATTTATTTTTCCAGGGTTCTGGAGTTTCAAAGTCCAAGGTCTAGGTGCTGGCCGGGTTGGTTTCTCCTGAGCGAGGCCTCTCTCCTGGACTTTTAGATGGCCGCCTTCTCCCTGTGTCTTCACATGGCCTTTCCCCTGTACTAGTCTGTGTTCTAATCTCCTCTTATAAGAATATTAGTCATATTGGATTAAGACCCACCCAAATGGCCTCATTTTATTTTATTTTATTTTATTTTATTTTATTTATTTTTGAGACGAAGTTTTGCTCTTGTTGCCCAGGCTGGAGTACAATGGCACGATCTCGGCTCACCGCAACCTCCACCTCCTGGGTTCAAGGGATTCTCCTGCCTCAGCCTTCCCTAGTAGCTGGGATTACAGGCATGCGCCACCACGCCCAGCTAATTTTGTGGTTTTTAGTAGAGATGGGGTTTCTCCATGTTGGTCAGGCTGGTCTCAAACTCCTGACCTCAGGTGATCCCCCTACCTCAGCCTCCCAGAGTGCTGGGATTGCAGGCATAAGCTACCGCGCCTGGCCATCATTTTAACTTGGTTACCTCTATGAAGGCTTTATCTCTAAATATGGTGCAGTCAATTCTAAGGTGTACTGAGGGCTAGGACTTCAACCTAGGAATTTTGGGAGGATGCCATTCAACCCCTAACAGCCTCAGTAAAGCTTGTTTCAATCATGGTTGCAGGACGTGAGGAGCAAAAAACCACTGCAGTACTTGACCCTCTGCCAGCTTTCTAAACGGCATGATTTTTCTTTTTTGTTTTTGTTTTTCCCACCCTAGGGAGAACTAATGCCGACGTGATGACCGCCCTGTCCCAGGGCTACAGGATGCCCCGTGTGGAGAACTGCCCAGATGAGCTCTATGACATTATGAAAATGTGCTGGAAAGAAAAGGCAGAAGAGAGACCAACATTTGATTACTTACAGAGTGTCCTGGATGATTTCTACACAGCCACGGAAGGGCAGTACCAGCAGCAGCCTTAGAGCACAGGGAAACCCGTCCGTCTGGCAGGGGTGGCTGCCTCATTTAGAGAGGAAAAGTAACCATCACTGGTTGCACTTATTATTTCATGTGCTGGGATCTTCTGCCGTGCCTGGATCCTGAAATAGAGGCTCAATTACTCAGGAAGAACACCCTCTGCATGGGAAAGTATTCTGTACTCTTAGATGGATGCTTCACCCAGTTGCAACTTGGACTTGTCCTCAGCAGCTGGTAATCTTACTCTCCTTGACAACGTCTGAGTGCAGCCTTTTGAGAAGAAAACACCTATTCCCTCCAAGAATACACCCAGCTAGCTCTATGTTTACAAATGGACATAGGACTCAAAGTTTCAGAGACCATTGCAATGAATCCCCAATAATATCAGAACTAAACTCATTTATAAAGCTAAAATAACCAGATACATAGCATGACATTTCTTTGTATTTTTCTCTATGCTTTGGCTTACTTGTTAAAAAAAAAAAAAAAAATTACTAATCCAACCTGTTAGATTTTGCAGGTGAAGTCAGCAGCTTAAAAATGTCTTTTCCAGATTTCGATGTGTTTTTTTTTTCCCCTACCTCCCAAAATCTGAGACTGTTAAACATTTTTCTCCCATGAACACTGCTCAGACCTGCTAGACATGCCACAGGAGTGGCGTGCACATCTCTGTCTCTTCCAGCAGGAAGAGCCCGTGAGCACACACAGCTGCCGAGCCGTGCAATGTGCACCCGAGGGCACCGGGCTCACCTGGACCTCCCAGGAAAGGGAGAAGAGCCTCAGAAACTGCTCTGTGTTTAGAAGGAATATTTTTAAGGGTCCAGCTTTTTCATTTCCACAATTTCCTATATCCAGATTTGTTTTGACAGTGTAGTTTGGAAGAACTAAGATTCTAATCTCTGAAGAACCTTATAGAGCCTTCTAAAACATAAGAGTTTCCTTTGTTGCTTCAAAGATTTGAACATTATGTTAAAGATCAAGTATTAATTTTAGTTGTACTCTAGAAAGTTAAAGTGCCACATTTGGGGCTATTTTTATGATTCAGCAATCTTTTCTAAATTGTGTAGCATGTGTATGAGACTATTTATACCCAAGGATATGAAGGAACGTAAGTGACTAGGAGGCTCTAGTGAGCCATGGTGGCGGGAGGTTCAAGCCGTTTTGTTTACTAAATTTTTCTCCTGTAAGCTTTGAATGGAAACTTCTGTATCACATTATGTGTTTCACTTATGCTGTCGTGTATATACCTAATATTTCTATTTTTGATTTTATTTTAATACACCTCGTCCAATAACATCTCAAGCTTTTTATTTGTGTTTACATTTTCAGCTGTGGTCAGTGTAAAAACTGGTCATTAGTTGGGGGTGGGGTGGTTAGAAGTGATTCAATAGAGCTACATACTTTAAACTTGCCCAAGTTCTACCTCCTTCCTTTGAGCATTTCAGATTGGAGAACCAAGGAGTTGATCACCTCAACGTCTGAACATCCGTTTATGGGGGCCAGATAGAATTTGTTTTCAAATAGGCTTAACAGGCATCATTAAAATTTCATTCTGTGTGTTTTGTTTAGGCTTGAGGTGCTTAGAAGATGGGATAAAATATTCTACTTTTCTCTAAATTTTAACTTCGTTTCCTATGTGATTTTTTAAAAATGTCCTTTCTAAAATATTCTAAAATTATTGATTCACAAGTGCCATGTTCACAACGATAGAATATTATCATTACATAATGTCTGCACAGTTGGTCCCTGGATTCATGGTGGTAAGTTTTCTGTGTACACCCCCTGCTCGCATTTTATTTCAGAACCACAAGTATTACCCAATATGTTACATGGAGTGGAACTATAAAGAATCCCTAAGGCAAAAAGAAGTCTCTAGAAAATGACTAAAGTTTTTTTTTTAGCATAACAAATTTATTTAAAGAAAATTATTAAATTTGTCTTCACCTTGTTTTGCTTCTCCCACTTCCTCCTTCCTCTTCTTACCATTTTCCACTTGACTTTCCCTCTCAATCAAGCATGTGATCCTTCCCTCCATGTGGGCCTGTCACCAGCTTGGGCCTCATCTCTGGTGTCCATCATGTGTGGAAGTCACATGTTCCCTTGATGAACAGCACACACAGTCTCTTTCCTTAGCTATAGGTTTCCAGCCTCCCTGTGACAGACAGGCATAATGAGGGGCTGAGTAGGTGTTTGTAGCATTTTAGGGTCTCCAATGGTGTGCAAAATGGCTCATGTCATCACACCTCAGGTTATTGTACAGAACTGGAAAGACAGAATCCGTACTCCCTACCTCCAAGGTTCTGACTTAGCTGTTGTGCAGTGGGGGATGTATGTCAGTCTATTTTAAAAGCTTCCCCAGTCAACTAGACTTAGTGGCTCATGCCTGTAATCTCAGCACTTTGGGAGGCTAAGGCAGGAGGATCGCTTCAGCTCAGGAGTTAGACACCAGCCTGAGCAATACAGCAAGTCCCTGCCTCTACAAAAAATTTTAAAAATTAGCTAAGTGTGGTAGCACACACCTGTGGTCCCGGCTACTTGGGAGGCTGAGGTGGGAGGTTTGCTTGAGCCCAGGAAGTCGAGGCTGCAGTGAGCCATGGTCGCACGACTGCACTCCAGCCTGGGTAAGAGTGAGACCCTGTCTCAAAAAAAAAAAAAAACAAAAAACAAAAACCAGAACCAAAAATCCCTTCCCTGGTGAATATAATGTATGCTCAGTCTTGAGAGTTACCACTTGGTTTGACCCATATTGCAAAGCCCAGCCTTCTTTTTTCTCAGATGGTTTCATTTCTCAAAGGGGAGTGGAAGAGAAGGAAGGAGGAAAAAAATGTGCCTTCCTTCCGGTGAACACGAAGCTCACTGAACCTAAAGGAGACTCACAGGCTGGAAACCGGTGTCCTTAGTAATAGGGGCCACATGGGGCTTCCGTGGCTCCTCCAGGCATCCCTCCCGAGGTTCTGCAGAATCCCCTTGCAGAAAGTACTTCTGATGAGCCACTGGGAACGTGTACTGTCCAAGCCCCGTTCTAGGGGAAATTCACTGCCACAGAAGCCAGCAACCCTAGCTGTCCCAAGGTGCATAAAAGGATAATAAATAAAAGGAGGGAATTAATTTTGTTGCCTACACCAGGGATAGATCAAGGGCACTGAGAGCATTATAAGTATAAACTCATTTCCATGTCAGCTTGTGGGGTCGGCTTTCTCTCTCTCTCTGTTTTTTTGTTGTTGTTGTGTTGTTTTGTTTTGTTTTGTTTTGAGACAGAGTCTCACTTTGTCATGCAGGCTGGTGTTGCAGTGGTGTGATCTCAGCTCACTGCAACCTCCGCATCTCTGGATGGAGCGATTCTCCTGCCCTAGCCTCCCTAGTAGCTGGGACTACAGGTCGCCTGGCTAATTTATGTATTTTTGGTAGAGATGGGGTTTCACCATGTTAACAAGGCTGGTCCCGAACTCCTGACTTCAGGCAATCTGCCTGCCTCGGCTGCCCAAAGTGCTGGAATTACAAGCCTGAGCCACTGTGCCCAGCCAGGGTCTGCTTTCTCTTTATTTCCCTTCCTCTCACAAACTACATCCAGGGGCGGTAGCTGCTAAAAAGGACCCAATTCTGCAACCTCAGCTTCTGACACCTTCAAATAAATTAAATATTGGTCCTAGGGCTCATTCCCCAGTTCTTCTGTCTGTCACTGCCAGGTTCTACAGCTGGTTCTCGGACGTCTCCTGCTTCCTCACACCTCTCAGATGAGATCAAACTGCCCAGCTTTTCTCTTAGCATCTTCCTTTCTTTTCCACTTCTGCTTGGTGGAAGAGAGATTGGAGTTCTCTATTCCCTGTATTTTAACGCCACAGATATTTTAGATTAGGTGAAGTCTTGCTGTTCTTCCTGATGGAAATGGTAATTATAAACATACAAAGATACCCACACGCACATCCTTTACTCAGGGCCCTCTTGTGCTTTGGCAAATTATAAAAATTATCTCTAACTCACACAACAACCCGGGAAGATCTGGACAATGCTATTGCTGTTTCACAGCTGAGGGATCGGGAGCGTTTAAAGCCACAGAAGGAACAGATTGGCTTCACTTCATATTGTTTCCTTGTGAAATAAAACCAGCGAAACACCTTTGTGTAGAATATTCCTGACTCAGTTGAGTGTTCTGAGTAGGCAAGGGTATTACTTTCAAGATGCGCTACTTGAGCCCACACAGATGGGAGGGGAAAATTTTCCTTAAGTAATTTTATTTGGGAAGAAAAGTAATGCAAGAATTTAACTTAACCATTCACACTTTTAAAGACAATTTGTAGAGACTACACTTCAGAATAAAATGTTTTGGCCAGGTACGGTGGCTCCCACCTATAATCCCAACACTTTGGGGAGCTAAATCAGGACGATCACTTGAGGCCAGGAGTTTGAGACCAGCCAGGACAACATCATGAGACCCTGTCTCTACAAAAAAAAAAAAAAGAAAGAAAAAAATAGTTAAGTTTCAATAACATTTATGTTCCATTTCATAACATGAATATGTACTAAAACTGATAAAAATTTTATCCCAAAAAGTTTTAACTTGATAGATATGTAAGAGGAAAGCCTTCCAATTTAATTTCCTCTATTAAATACTTCAAGTCAGAGTGCCAAAAAGTGTCACAGAATTCCCAAGATGGCCACAGATATTCACGGATCTTGAATATTTCTCTTTAAGGGGGAAATGACAGGGAATCATGGCGGCCTCTATCTCTAGGTCTTTGGAAGGCCTTTAGAAATAATCTAGATTGGCCAATGTTCAATGTTAATGCAGAACTTTTAGAAATAAAAAAGGCCTTAATCTACAGCCCCAAAAGTAGATACCATGTCACACAGCAAGAAAATGATCTGCGGTTTTTGTTGTTGTTGTTGTTGTTAGACTTAAGCTGGGCTTTGACAATAGGTCCTTTATCCCTTATCTACCACCCTTAGGGTCAGGTATGTTTTTGATTTCAGGTTTTTAAAAAAAAGATTAGGGCCTGGGGGCGGTGGCTCACGCTTGTAATGCCAGCACTTCAGGAGGCCGAGGCTGGTGGATCACCTAAGGTCAGGAGTTCGAGACCAGCCTGGAAAACATGATGAAACCCCGTCTCTGTTAAAAAATACAAAAAAAATTAACTGGGCATGGTGATGCATGCCTGTAATCCCAGCTACTCAGGAGGCTGAGGCAGGAGGATTGCTTGAACTCGGGAGGCAGAGGTTGCTGTGAGCTGAGATCATGCCACTGTACTCCAGCCTGGATGACAGAACAAGGTTTCGCCTTGAAATAAATAAATAAATAAAAATAAAAACAAATAAAAAAATCAATACAGTGAGTATATTGTATATTTGGTGGTAAAGCCTCAGTGAACACTGAGGAAGAAATCTTTTTTGTTGTTTTGTTTTGTTTTGAGATGGAGTCTTGCTCTGTCGCTCAGGCTTGAGTGCAGTGGCATGATCTCAGCTCACAGCAACCTCTGCCTCCCGGATTCAAGCGATCCTCCTGCCTCAGCCTTCCGAGTAGCTGGGATTCCAGGCATGTGCCACCATGCCCAGCTAATTTTGTATTTTTTAGTAGAGATGGGGTTTCACCATGTTGGCCAGGCTGGTCTTGAACTCCTGACCTCAAGTGATCCACCTGCCTCAGCCTCCCAAAGTGCTAAGATTACAGGCATGATCCAGCACGCCGAGCCGAGTAAGAAATCTTTAATCAAAACATATCTGCATAAAAATGCCTGAATATTCACACTAAGTGGAATGACTATAGCCTATAAATAGCTTCGGCTCAGGTTTTGCCACCAAATGAGTTCTTAAAAGATCTTTTGGATTGTAGCGTCTTTTGGATTTCAGCATTATGGATAAGGGCATGTGGACCTGCACCCCAACAGCTTGAAGAATATGCAAGACCTTTTAGTCTCAGGGGTGGATTTGATTCAAACGGAGGACATCCAGATTGTGATCCAGAAAAACCCATTTTATGTATGCACATTCAAATATGCAAAAACATGTATGCTGCTAATCATATCTGTATGCTATTAACCATATAATCTCTGATCAAATACTGCCCTGGCATAGTCTGAGATGTAGCAGTCTAGGTGGAGGGTGAATCTGGTGGTTTCAGCTGACCACAAGAGCACGCAGCGTGGTATGGGAGCTCAGACCACGAAGAAGCGCAGTCCTGGGCTACGTTACGAGCGCTGAAAGGCCACGCGCACGAAGAGATGCTCCTCTGTCACATGGAAGTCAGACCACACAGGAGCTAAATGACTGCTGTAAAGACCCGATCTCCAATTGCAGTCACACTCGGAGGCACTGAAGCTGAAGACTTTGATGTATGAATTGTGGGGACACATTCAGCCCACAACACCCAGTCTCTCAGAAAACAGAGGCAGCCAGAGCACATCAGACTGTGCCAGAGCGTGAGGACGCCAAGCTTTCCCCAACTCAGCCCTAGCCTCCTGTGGGGACAGTTCACAGCCTGGTCACTGCCACGGCCCCTTTTGCAGCCCAGCCACAGGCCCTGGGCCTGGCTGGCCCATGTGAGCCTCTCTGAACCTGGGTTTACTGAAGACTTGCCCTGCCTGGTTTGGGGACCGTTGCATCTCAACTCAGAAAAATGATTT